TGAGGCAAAAATGCGATGATGAGGCATTGATATGACGAAATCATTTTGATATCAAGGTGATCTTGCTGATTTGACGTTGATGTGGATTTGATCGTGGCGAAAAGAATTGTTTCTGACTCTTGTAATTCTTGCTTATGCCGTCAACATGACGTGGATGGTTTTGAAATTATCTCATACTTGGATGATATTGGAGACGACGTCAGTATAGTGTTTTGTCAAAGAGGTGTTGCGAGATCGATGAGACGTTTACATAATCAGAGTCCGAGAGGAAGCGTCTTCAGAAGAAAGTTGCTGAACTTGCCAGCCGCCTAGACGTTGCTGCTAAACTTCAGGATGCGGCTTTGCAGCAGATTGTTGATGAAGTGAAGCGTGAACTGACGGAGAAGTACGAGGCGAAGGTTGATTGCGCTAGAGCAAAAATTAGAGTAATCAGTGGCCAGTCGAAGAATGACATAATTGATCTTGCTAAAGTAAGCAGTAATATTGAGTTTGTCGATTTGTTTCAGAGTGACAAAGCACCTGACCTTAGTGTGGAATCAGCTGAATTGAATAAACAGGAGGCGGGTCTGTCATTGGTAGACAAGATATTTACTAAGCATGTGCGGGAGCTGGAAGAAATCTTTAAAGACTTGCCCGTTAGAGTGACTGATGATGGGGTTGAAGAGTTGGATGCTCCTGCTGTTACAGAGGTGGCTGAGTCGGATTCGAGTTCATCTGATTCGTCGAGTGGTGACGAGTTATCTAGCACTACAACTGTGGTTCCTCAAGAGCAAGCTGCCGAAGTTGTCAATGGCGTTGAGGAGATCGTGTGTAGTTCTTGATTTTGTTTCAGCATTTGTCGCGCTTTTAACTTTTGTTCTGGTATTGGTTTCTCCTGGGATAGTGTTTATTCTTTTGTTTAGATTTGTCATTGTTTTTTTAGATGGAGTTTATGAAAACAGCTTTATGATTCTTGTTCTTGTCTTTGGGATGGACCGTTTTTTTGCTAAGTTTTTAGTCCGTAACGTTTGGGCCTTTGTAGACTTGTTTTGATTTCGTCAAGACGCGTCGCCATATCGATCTCGTAGGGGTGAAATCCGATCCCAGCATGGTGTTATTAGCAGGAGGGAGAGATGTCAAAGAACCATCTGTAGTTTGAGCCTTGGCCTCCACAGTCCACATCTTCGTGGCAACTTTCTGAAGGTAATCAGTCTGAAAGTTGAATAACAACAACAAAAAACAGGAAGGTTTATTCATACACGAGGCTATTTAAGCTTTACATGTACCAAAAGTTTTATATTTACCACAAAATATATGTTGAGAGAGCGGTAAATTACGGGGCTATCAGCACTGCTAAACATTTTATCCTCGAATCTTGGAGCAATGCGTCTGAGCTCGTTTATTCCTGCTGGTCCAGAAAATAGAAGGTGCTTCATTAGTATTTCCATTCTGCGCGAAGTTGCAAGTAAATCGAGTAAAGACCAAATTTAAACTTATTGATCAAGGAACTTTGCAGAGACCAAAACAAAAATTAAGAAGAGGTATGATAAACTTATACATCTTGTTGACAACTTTTTCGCGCTTATCAGGTGTCAATTGAGTTCTCCAGCCATCTGATTCCATGGTAGGTTTTTCAGTTGGAAGAGAAGTCCCCATCACGCTTAGTCGATTTTTAACGAGCTTGGCATCTGATAAAAACAAAAACTATGATATATTTTGTAAATTACAAACCAATAGAAGAACAGATGCGACAATGCTTCTCTCGCATTCCATCAATTGAAAATAAAACCTTTGAAAGCAAAGCGTACGTACGAAAAGGACGATACTAAAAAAAATTCACCACAAGCTTCGGATGATCGGATCAAGGTACTTGCAACGAGGTGATAATGGGAAAACTGAAGTCGAAATTAGGTTTTATATAACCAATCAAGCCGAATAAAAACAATAAAGAGGTGGTACGGCCCATAGAGCCCAACACATGGACAATTCCAAATTACTGAACGAAAGTTTCCTTTTGGGGGAGTAAAAGAAATTTTATTAAGGTATCATAATCAATGTTCAAGAACGCGTTAGGCACTAAGCGGGCGGTGACCCAATACCTAGTGTCTAGAATGTCTAATCGGAGTCTAAGCGATTTAATAGGCTGTTTAAGCGTTTTACAAAAATACATAATATATTAGATATATATAATAAAATATATAAAAAACCATAATTTATAACTAATAAAATTTATATTGTATTTATATTCATCATTTAATAGCTAAATATATAAAATTTTACGATTTATATATAAAAAAAATTATAGTATTTTATTATAATAATACCATAATATTTTAGACGGCAAAAGCGATAATCGCCACGGTCTATAGGGGTGTAGCGCCTAAGCGCCGCCTAGACGAACGCCTAGAACGATTTTTAGAACACTGATCATAATTAGTATACATTGCCAAAGATGAAAAGTCAATCAATCATCAATCTAATAAAAAGACAAAACAACAAAAATAGAAGAGCAAATGTACCTAGCTATGTCTACAATTAGAGAGCAACAAAAACTTGCTACAACCTGAGAGTTGATATCTATAAGATAACCACTTAAGGACCCATGCAACATTCAACTAATCACATCTTTTTTGTTGTAGTTCGACAAGACTTTTTTTTTTAGCAAATTAACAAAAACTAATCGCATCTTTTGTCGTCTGCGGTTTTGCACCTTTACGTGAAAAAAAAAAAAATGGAGTCTAAGAAGATGTGAACGACTTCACCAGTATTTGAAAAATGAAACATTACAAAGCTGAAAAGTCAATGTAACGCAGTAGATCACTAATAATTATTAATTACATCTCATCTTTATGCAAAACCATAAAAGAGTGGAAAAAGAGCGAGAGAGAGGCTACTCAAGGAGGGCAAGAGCAAAAAACTTGCTACAACCTAAAAATTAATATCTATAAGAAAAAACACACCAAAAAACTCATAAACATTAAACTCGTCTCCACTGTCATTACAATCATTTTTTCTTCTTCTGCAAAGCCAATGGAAGGAGACGACGATTATCTACCTATATTCTTATCCATATGATATATAGTTACAGTTATGCGTAGTCTAGAACGTGTTGCTGACAAAAGAATAATTGATGTTTGATGGTGTCGTGTCGTAGTTATGTATCAGCTGGTTCCATAGATAAATTCAGGGCTGATCGGGTTGTTATCAAGTGGAATGTTAAGGTCAGGGAGCAAGAAGGAGGAATCATTCTTCTTTTGTGATTCAGCCTGCACAGAGATTTGATGTGTCAAATATTTATGTTATATAATATACTCAAAAGAGTGGTCTTGTTTAAGAAGAAATGGGTATTAACCTGCATTTTCTTTAAAGACTCGTTTCTTGCTCTTTGCTGCTTGAGCATATCCCGCATACTTGCGAGTTCCTGATTCACACGCAACAAGTAACATATTTCAAGATTTTGGACTTTGGACTTTCGTAATAATTAATTACAAGAAGATGGAAAGAGAGAGATTTTTACATTTTTGAGGCCTTTCTTTTCCTTTAAGAGGAAACTCTCCTCTTCTTTGAGCTCAGCAAGCGTCTGTTGACAAGAGACACACACATACAGTGATTAAACTAAAGACATCATATAATGATGTGATTCTACCACAAACTTAAAAGAGCTATTTTTTTTTTATTTTCTGGTTGGCTTACCTTCTTCTTTCTTGATCTCTTGAAAGGGGTTGTTATTACACTTGTTTGAGATATCTGTATCAAAACCCACAAAAAATTCAGAAAATGGCTTATTATCACAACATGACTTCTGGAACTAACGAGACAAAATAATGAAACGTTCATTATTCACAAGTACATAATGAACGTATAAACAATAGTCTTAAATTTGATTCCATTATTTCAAGTTCTTAAAAAGAATCTTCCACTTTCTTGGTCAACTAGTTAGACCCAAGCAAAGTAAATATGAATACAAGTGCATCTTCTTTTCTCCTACATCGAGAGATGCACCAAATTCAAAAGAATAGAATCACGTGACTGGAGCGTGAGTTTGAAGACTTTTACGCGTGTCTTTCCCATTGCCACGACCCCACACAACACAACTATCTTCCCATACTCACCCACGAATTATCCACATAACCACTTTTCCTTATCACAATTTTTTCCTTTTCGATTACTAAACCCTACTTTTGTTAAAGATAATCCAGCTTAAACCATAAAGAAAAAGCTAAGTAGACACGACTGTCACCAACGTTAATCTCACAGACGAAAGAGTGATGTTGACCAAAAAGATGCTTTAGATTTGCATTCAAAGTGTCGTGTAGGAAGTATTTGACTTTTTTTGGTCCACGTCAGCTATAACCTACGAGGGCTTACTATGCGCTACGCCGCATCTGATTACACCACACAGACGCACCAAACCCAAGCCCACACTCTCTCAGCCAAACCTAATTCGCCACGAAAACGCCTCTCGACCCATAAAAGAGGCAACCCCCCCCCTCCCCTCATTATAACCAACAATTATAAATAACGCCAGCCATAACTTCTAATTGACTTAAATACCCCTGAACACACTCTTATGGCAAGGGTAATCTCGTCATTGACTTGGTGATGACCCCTTTGCTTGAATTCAGCGAACAGTTTCAGGAACGAAGAAGCATCGTGACGTGAACTTGATGACCAAACACCAACTGAGGATATTTTTGGTCTTCTTTTTTATAAAGCAGGGAAAGTGACTCTAAATTGCGG